GTGAATGACATTTGTACTCCTGTAGCCCTAGAAATTATTATCATTGTATTCCTGATTCTTACCTATAAATATAGAGCTTTGATTTTCAATAATACACACAAAAGGTTTATTGAGTTTTCTCGATTCTCTTTTCCTCTCATTTTATAACATCGAATATAACTTTGGATTTATTTCAAGAAACAATTGCATTTTTGAGTTATGAGTATAAGAAAACTACTAAAAAAATTTTAGGAAATTTTCTTTTCTATTTCTCGCCAAATTGTTTAGGATAGAAATAAGTGAATCTATTAATTTTCAATAGCCACATATAGGATCCGAAATTAATGGCAAAAATCAATTAATTGGGAGTGGCCTTTTAGCAAAATCTATGCAATTAACAATGGCTTACCTGTCTGAATTAGTACAGTATTAATTTTAACCTTTTTCACACTTCGAGGAAAGAAAGCCAGCAGCCACGCCAGTTCAACTTACTAATCGAGCCTGTCCACATGACAAAGGGAACAGACAGAGTTGTTCACCTTAAAACTCAAAGAAAAAGGGAGTGAATCTCTGAAATGATGATCAAATTTGTGGGAAAATGGAGACCTTCCCATGAAGCAATTGGCTTGCAATATACTAGCCATCTTTCTCTGCATAGAATGTAAGAAACAAGAGAAAACTGTTAATTTCTTGAAACTGCCAACACTTATATATTAATACATAATGTTTGAAAATTTGATGTTTATGGTATCATTTATTACCTAAAAAATAGCATCTTTTCTTTGGCCTTATTTGTATGTTTATATGACGTGTGACACGAATTGGTACCTGCACCAGTCTAAAATGGTTGCCTTCAGCCCATTGACTCTAATGTTATTAAATTAATACAAAATAAACAAATTATTTTCATCTTTCCCTTTAGTTTAAAGTGATTAGTAATGGATGGTTAAGGATCTATTACATCTAATGAATCGAATATAGTATTGGAAAAAAATCACTTCATTCAAAACAACCTTTATTGTTTGTTAGGAAAATATTATTTGAAATGAAAAATGATTCTTTTTTTTAGAATGCGTGGTTAAAAAGTAGGAAAAATTTAAGGATCTGCGTGCAAAATTATTTTATTGCTGGAATGTATATTCAAAATCTATTTTATTAAACAAAATTCTCATAAAAGTTGTACAAGTTGTTTATTTTGTACTTAATTTTAGAAATTAATGTGATTACAGTAAGATCCTAATTACAACTTGATTTTTAGACATTTCTTAGAATATCCACGATTTAAAAAATTCAGTATTCATTGATTCACAATAGAATACAACTAGATCGACAGATCATTAATTCTTGCAAATACCAATTTGAATAATTTATCAGATAAAAAATCTAAAAACTTTTATATAATCATATCAATACCAATTTAAATGACCCACAGGTCCAAGACACTGTTTTGAAAGAAACTAATTACTAAGCATAATTGAAATTTCACTTTTAATCCCATAACAATTATGGTGTCAATATATCCACCTTAAACCTTAACCTCTTTACCTACAATATGTAGATAATTTATTTTCTCACTTTACTAAAATTTCCACCTTTATGTAATTTGCAGAAAAAAATTAACTAGTTACCAAATAGTTGTTCCTTAATAAGTGAATGGATAAACAACAACAAATTATCTAACTATTCAAAATAACCATATAAGAGTATTTCCAAGAACTTTATTTTTATTAATAAGCATCTTGTATCTAGTTGAGCATAATAGAGAGCAATTTTAAATTTCCACAGTCGATTAACAATTTCCATAACACTTGTGTGAAATTGTTTCATTTGTCAAATCCTTCATTTTTGAATTTGAAAATCTCTACCATATATCATTTTCCTTTAATCTTCTCCATCAAAAATAGGAATAAATTGAAGAGTTGACACCGACCGGACTTGCCATTATTTGAGCTTCTGGATAAAAGTGTCTTATTCAGGCTGTTACCAAAATTATCCAAATGTATATTAAAATATTCTTCAAATGATGTTTGGAGGCATAAAGTGAAAATTGGCTTCCAATAACTTCAGAATTCAACCTTCTAGATTTTGCTCTAATCAGGTACTTCTCTCCATTTAATCTCCAAAATATGCATTTCATTTTCCTAAAGAAATATGTGTGCATGGCCATTTTCTGATTGCAGCTGCGCAATAAAAAGATCCTCTATCCACGACGTTCCAGAAGGCGCTATTCTAAGCCACAATGGAGCGTCTCTATTCGTAGGGAAGCCAATGGTGCATCGTATACTCAAGCTAAATCTACCCTTTTACAGTTCCCAGATAATGCATGGTTCTGGCAGAAAAAAGTGGTCAAACTAATGGTAAATCTTGAAATGATGCGCTGTAACAATGATGTTTTTTATTGCTGTTGGGGAAATTTACACCGATTATGTGTATATTATATTTTTGTACGTGCATATTATATTCACAAAAATATAATATGCACATAATCGGTGTAAATTTTCCCAACAATTGCCGGGTCTTCAAAATCTTGTTGAAACTTACAACATAATGAAATGCAATTTAAGAAGAAAAAGAAAACATCTTTAATTCTTGTTAAGGATCAAATCCCACATTGAATAAAAATGAAAAAAAATAGACCAACTTATAAGCTTTGGGCTACTCCTCTTAACAAGGTTGACCTATTAAGATGGAATCACAAATCTTAACACGGTATCAAAGCCATCATCCAACTTATAAAGCTTTGGACTACTCCTCTTAGGGCGTGTTTCGCATAGCTTTTGTTTTTACTTTTGCTTCTTGTAGAAGAGTTTTTGGAGGAAGCTATTTTAATTTTTGTTTAAAAACTAATATTTAAAAGCATTTTTTATTCCAGAAGTGCTTTTAGAGGAAGTCACATTGAACCGGCTTCGTCTAAAAGTTCTTTCAACCATTAAAAGCACTTTAACAAAATTAGCCAAACGGGTCCAAAAACAACTTTTGAACCTCAAAAGCTCCTTTTGACTTTTTAAAAGTCATGTCAAACGAGCACTTAATAAGGTTGACCTTCAAGATAGAACCCCAAATCTTAACAATTCCTGAGTATTAGGCCATCTTCAACCCTGCACCAAATTTTGCACTAAATCTTGCACCAAACCAAAATTCTTCTCCAACCATTATACCTAAATTTACACCAAATGAACAGTGCTTTATTATTTTATTCATTCTTTTGATTTTTGACAATATATTTATTTATTTATTTTTTTATAACTATATATATTACTAAATCATAACTTCATTAAATTAACAAATATATTGATTACTATATTATCACATGTCATATATATTATGTTAAATCGACAAAAATAATTGATTATATTATTAATTTATGATAAACAATTACGTTAAATTTACAAAAATAATAAACTTTAATAATATAAACTTTACATTAAATTAAATTTTAAACGTAAACTTTACGAATTTAACTGTACGTTAAATTAACAATTACGTCAATTATTATTGATTATATTATTAAAAATAATAAACTTTAATAATATAATTAATAGTGTAATTAATTAAGTAATTATTATTATTATCATCATTATCATTATCATTATCATTATTATTATAGAACGAAAATGACACAAATGCCCTTAACCCTTATCCTTGAAAAAAGAAAAATAAGGGCAAAATGGACATTGCACCATTTGGTACAAAATGGTGCAACATGAATAGTGTTGCACCATATTTGGTGCAACACTATTCATTACACCATTTTTTGCACCAAAATTTGGTGCAATGGTGCAATGGTTGGAGGAAGTTTGCACCAAATTTTGGTGCAATTTGGTGCAATGGTGCAATGGTTGGAGATGGCCTTAGTAATGGAAAAACTGAGAGATTTTCGAGAAACGAGCTCGAGAAAGGGGGAAAATCCATGATTTTCAACCTCATCAGTCATAAACAAACTGAAACCAGTCACAATATTATCAAACTTAAGCCGTGGATTTGGCAACAAATTCCCAAATCCATTTATTTTCCATTATCGTTTATCTGAAATCCCAATTCAAAGAAGCTTTGATTTAATCTAGGATCCTAGTAGTTTCTCTCAGAAAATTTTTATTCAGAGTCATGGTAGGAAGAAAATAAAATTGCCCTACCTTAAAATCGTGTTGCAAATTGAAATAGTAAATAACCTCGTGTTTTGAAAACTAGGCATTCATAAATCCCGGTTTTGTACATCTTGCAATCAAAAACGTCATTCTAACTATACAAAATGACATTTCCAATTTTCTATCCTCAGTGTTCAATTTTAATTAACATAAGCTTCAGTGACGAAAGCAAATAGACCACTCAAACTAAAACAAAAAACAAAACTTCAATTTTCAACTTCAGAAAAATAATAAGTTGGATGAGTTACCGCATTTTCAACCACAGTGTAGTAGACTAAAGTGCTAAAAAATATTAAATTATTTATTTATAATTTCCATTTACGTATATCAAACACGCCTAAATATTAAATACTCGTATATATATATATGATAGAGAACACTAAGACGGATATGAATATTGAATTGGTCGTTGACCTTTGATTGGGCTAGATGAACTCCACTTAGATATAAAGACTATTTTTAACGTTGATAAATAAACATTTCGTGGACCCTTAAATAAGAAGAAATCTGTTTCGCAAAAAAAAAAAAAAAATTCTTAAAAAAAGTTAATTTCTGCTACCTTAGAAAAAGCTATGACCTGGATCCATTTGGTTGGCTTATAGGGCAATTGAAATTCAATTCCCAGAAGATAGAATTATATATTGTCGGATGTAAAATAATTTTAGGCAGCTATGTTGAATTCAAGAACTTAGGATCATTTATTTATCTTAATTAATCAATAGTATCGGAATGCATATTATACATGCCGTCCTAAAAAATATGACTTATTCAACTCAATTATTCCCTGTTAAAAAATTTAACGTTGTTATGACCTTAACAAATGAAAATTATTTTTCTAAGTTTCAACGCGCAACTCCTTGTTCATGATATAATCTGACTTATCTGGTGGATGAAACTTATGTACTATTTAACCAGAGAGTTTTTGGCTTATCTTCTTTATCAGTTGATCAAGCATTCTTAATAATTGTGAAAAATTTTATTGTATCAGCCTGCAATATGCAGCAAAAAGCTTGCATTCTTCTAATCTTATGGCTTCCATTTAGCTTTTCCATATCAAAACAGACCATCAACAACAGCACAATCGCGCTACCCGACTGCCCCACCAAGTGTGGGAATGTTTCCGTTCCATACCCATTTGGTATTGGTTTAGATGCTGGATGTTCCATAGGCCCTTGGTATGACATCAACTGTTCTAAATCTTTTAACCCTCCAAAACCCTTCCTCAGCAGAACTAATGGAGAGATTATGGACATATCAGAAACCAAAATCCGTGTCAAAAGCAATGGGATAGCTTACAGATGCTACAATCAGACTGGTGGTATAACTCGTGAATTTCCAACCGTATATGGTATAGATGACACCTCGCCTTTCAGTTTTTCAAACGAAAACAAGTTCATAGTTGTGGGATGTGATGATGTTTCCTATATGGCAAAAGTGGCAACTGATAATCAGTTCATGTGCTGCCATATGTTCAAAGAGCAGTGACTTGAGTGATGGATCTTGTTCTGGAATTGGCTGTTGCCAAAACTCCATTCCCAAGGGCCTAAAGAATTACATTAATTTCCTGAACAGCTATGGAAATCACACGAAGGTCTCGTCCTTCAACCGCTGTGGCTATTCCTTTCTTGGAGAACAGGGTAGATATAGGTTTCACCCATCTGATGTCTCTGATTCCAATTTTGAACACAGAATTGTAGAAACTGTTCCGATGGTATTTGACTGGGTGATTGGGAATCAAACATGTGTTGAAGCTCAGAAATCCAATCTATTTGCTTGTCAGGAAAATAGCATCTGTGTTGATTCTGATACTGGTCTTGGAGGATATCACTGCAACTGCTCCAAGGGATACAAGGGAAATCCATATCTCAGACCAGGTTGCCAAGGTTAGTTAATGTCTGTTTGAACACTCTGAGCATATTTAGTACATATTATTGGACATTACTCCACGATGGACAAAAAATTTTACTTCTTTTTTTGGTTCGTATTGTCAATTAGTGTTAAATCTAGCTTACCAAAGAAGCTGTCTATAGACAAACAAAAAATGAATTATCGAAGAGCAATAAGAACAATTTTAATTTCCTTTGGCTCAGCCACTCAGCCATGACTCTTTTCGTTCTACTACGTTTTCAGACATCAATGAATGCGAGAACAATCCGTGTCATCCATATGGAATCTGCACTAATACTCCAGGTGGTTATAAGTGCTCTTGCCAGCACGGTTATTTTGGTGATGGCAGCAAATTTGGTTCTGGTTGCATTGGCCAGCCAGCGTCGGACCCAAACCATTAGTATTGTGGGGTCAAAAATTTAAAAATAATTTTTTTAATAAACAACATAATATCAATAAAAATAAGTTTATATGTATTTTGACACTTTGAAAACGTCGTATAATTACATCATTATTAATATTATTAAATAAATTTTGCTACTTGTATAGTTTGTTTATCATTTCATTGGCAAATGTTGAGCTAATATTGAATAAATTAAATTGAATATAGAAATTAAATGAATTGAAATAAAATTCAAATTTAGTTCAGGAAGTAAATAAAATTCAAATTTAAAGTAAATATAATTCGAAAGTAATTCAAATTGCATTTAATCCGTAACGATCCTAAAAAATTTACATCATAATTCATGTAAGACTTCCGAATGAAACAATATAAATTATATTGAAAAATTTATCGTGTAAAAATAATAATTAATTGAATATTTTTAAAAGAAAAAACGAATTAAACGTTTTTTGAGGCG